CTTCATTTTAAGGAAGTTTAAAGAAATATCAATGAACACTTTCATTAAAAAAATATATATTACTTAATTAATTTATTTACTTCCAAAATCTTAGTAAATAAAACAAATGCATATTGACATCAGGAATAACCTAATTACCAACACCCCACCTAACAACATCATTTTCACAATGATATCTTGTTAATATTGAATATTTGAGATTTCAAGTTATCAATCTTTCCGGCCAATATTTTAAATAATCACTGAATTTTTACAATCACATTATTCGATCCCTCAATTCTACCGGTTATTCAATTTTCTATTAAACGTAAAATCACATTATCAATAATGTTTATTAATACCCAAAAAGTAGTCTGTGTTTAAAAATGATGCGTAAACCTATAAAAATATTAGGCATTCCGGTTAGAAATGCAATAGTAAAATACTTTTTTACTGTAAACTCATTATAATTTTGTTCGAGTTTATTTTGTTTCTTTTGTACACTGCCATCATATTGATAGATCAGCATCAATTCCTGCATTTCTTAGACGAAGCATAAAATATACAATATACAGAAAATAAATCTTAATCTTCAGCATGAAGTTCTGGTTTATATTTATATAGAAAATGCTCCCAACAGTTTTCATATTACCGGGATCATTAATAATAAATATAGAGAAGTCATAATTACAATTCTAATAACCAGAAAACAGCTCAGTTATTTATATACAATATGGCGAGTAGAAGCTTAGATATTACATCTATTCAATCGAGGATGTTTGATTATTAATGGCAATTTAAGTTTCTATAAACTTTATCCTAATTACTTTCACTTCTCTTCATTTCATTGACATTTGCGAAAGTACCAGTAGTAGCAACTATCCTATTTCTTAAAGAACGTAAACTATCCAATAATGGTATTACTAAACATAAATCTGCAATGACAAGTAAAAAATAATATATCTATATGCAATTTTGACTGATTGTATTTCAAATGTTTTCCATACATACTTTTTGATTAACATAATAACTAAAAATATATAAAATTGTTAGTCACTTGATAGAAGTTTCTCTTCTTGACCTCATTTGAAAGTGTATTCTCCCTATTGGAGGTATCAGTAGTAAGACCAAAGACAAAACACTTATTTACAGCACTCAGATATAGTGAAGTTGCTAATGCAAGTTATCGAAGAATAGTAGTAGTATATACTCGTATTAATACTCGAGCAAGAAACGCAAGAAACTCATTTCCAGATCTATCAAGACACAAAGCTTCAGTTATGCTCTTATGAAATTCCAAACTAGCCCAGTACTATTCTAATAAGTAAAAGGAACTTTACTATATGTTATATCAAGTAAGATGTATTTGTTGGTTTTTCCTATCCTTACAATTATGAAATCGAGCAAAAAAACCAATAGTTACAGATATAATTGAAGACACAAAACTCATCCTTTTCACTTATTATATCCATCTATTTCTGGCAATTATTAACATTGGGCACATAAGTCTTCAGAATCCAGAAATTTGAACAAAATAGTCTTAATTTTCAATCTCTTTCAAAGGTTTTGATACAATAAGTTTCCAAATAATGGTCCAAACAAATAAGTCTTGGTATATAGGATGAACTTTTAATCTTTAATGCAAATGGCTTTATATCAATTTATCACTTTACTATAGAAAAAGACCGATTTTTGATTTTAAAATATAACCAATAGCGAAAAATGTATAGACAACCAGTAGCTAACCTTTTTGTTCAATAGTTAAGTTTAATATACAATCTACTTTAGCTACCACATAATTAATTTTAAAATGTTTTTCGCAATCAGAATATACTGGATTGAAAATTATATCTTCCATTTTTATAAGGTTTAAACCAATTATTGTTCCTTAATCCCCCTCTGTTACAATACAATACGTATCTTATCGAATATTAAATTTATAATAACGATTTGGAAAGGAAGCTTTCCACTGAGGAGAATAGCATGGGCAAAACTTACAGAAAAACACAATAAGTGGGGTGGTCAGTTCGCCTCTTATCATGATATCTGGTACTTGAAATGATGAATTCGAAAAACCTTTCAGCTTAAACAGCGGTAGCCTTCTATTCAAAACGGTTATATTTAACTGGGTAACACTTTTGTTCTTAACTTGATATGGAAGAATCAAAATGATCTTCCTGGAGATAATAAAACTGTCCTTTGAAGCTACTCACTCATGTCAAGTATATTAAATAAATTGATAAATGTAAATCTCATTATAATGCATCTGTTTATATTATTTGTCGCCTTGCTTCCTAAAGTATTATTTAATTTAATGCTGGCTGACTTACTTTAATACTAGCTAATTTATTTTATTAATTTCAATATATTTTCTTGATTATTTTCGCAAAGGTAATTAAGCTATCTCAGTAGCAAAAATTTATTGCTTAACTTCAATAAGGTAGTAAGGAAAGAACTTCTGAAAAGAATATTAAGCTCTTAAATATGTATAATGGCTTATTCATCTAATATATATATATAATTCAATCATATTATCTTGTTTTATATATGATTAAATAAAATTCAAACAAGCTTTTTTAAATTTTTTTATTGTTTATTTTACGTTCCGAAAGTAAGAAAATATATAAGATTTCTTTAGATGAAAAATTAATGTACATTAGCGTTCTGAAAAAATTGGCTTATTTATTGTTCAATAATTTTATTTAGAATACAGTTTACTTATCCACTCAATAAATGATGTTAATTTCTTAACACACATGATGTTTTTCTTTTAGTTACAACCACCATAAAGTTGAATGTTTAAGCACTAACTTATAATTACGTCTTGCTTGAAATTTGTCCAAAAATTATAAGATGGAAACAGAAAATGGCTATTACAATATAGTATTCATAGAATAACATTTAGATCTATTGAGGACGAGTGCTTCTTACTCGATGCAGCAAATTTAAACATTTTAATAATTTAAGAGTTAAATTTGCAATATTGGAAATTAAGAAAAAGTAAATTAGTTGATATGTTATAGTAGTTTATTATGTATTTGTAGAATCAGGTCTTAGAAGTTTTCCTTATATATTATCATTGTTGATCACTATCGAATACAATCATAGGAGGGTATCGTTCTCCCAAGTATCATAATGTTAATGAAGTAGCATGGTTTCAATAGTCTTTTTAGATATTTAATTCTGAATAAATCGTTCTACATTTTTCAAGAGAATAACAATTAGATGTCTAGCATTAAGTTAGATGTGTCTGAAATACAACTCACTTAACTTTGTTTAACAACATTTCCACACTGAATCGCACTAAAAGAAAATTTATCGTTTTGATTAGCATATTCCATGTACTGTAACTTGTACTTAATATTTTAAAAAAATAAACAACAAGAACGTTATCATTAATTACAATGGAGTAATGTGAATACCTTAATTAATGAATAACCTTCAAAAAATTGCAGAACAAAATTCGAAAATGTACTTTTAGTTAATTTATTCCCGTTCTATAAGACCAGGTTGATAACAAAAAAGAGTAGTAAAAATAGTAGCAATACTGTAAAAGGTTACTAATGCATATTTTTTAAAGTCATATATCTCAATTCAAATGTAAATGTCAAACTAAGCGAATCGAAAAACGACAGATAATTAAACAAAATCGTCTGATTTCTTGACTGTAATTTTATTAACAAATTAATAACATCTGCATAGATAAACCCAAAACAGAAGTAACACGAATAAATAACGGCATTTACGTTCATATATTATGTATTATATTATAGTTTTTCTTCAACAATTCTATCTTCAAAGTGGGTTTCTTTATCTAGTTGTAAAAAAGAACCATATTTAGTTGACAAAGAAAAAATTTGTGCAACAACATAAAAATAATTGGTAGTTTCATAATATATACTAGTGAGTTTTCAAAAAGTTTTGATCTACCCATAAAAGGAGGTTATTTACAGTTTATAAGGGTATATAAATAAAGTAAGGAAAATATCTTTTTAATTAGGGACCTGTTTAAGACAATCTATAATTTTTCGAAATATATTGTATTGGATTAATATTAAATAAGCCCAGGTGGTCATAGTAAAATTTTGTTTATGATGTCATTGGTAAACCCTCCTGATATAAGGGTCAAGGGACCCAATGATTGTAAAACAGTCTTTGAAATAGATCTACTAACAAAATGAGACCATTTTTTTTATCTTATTTAAGAATTTGGGAGAAGGAAATACTCAAAATAATATCTCTAAGATTAGTAGTGTAGATATCTATTTACTAATTGATGCATACCGACAATGTCTATGATCTTTTATTCATCTTCGAAAAATGTTATTACAACCATCAAAGATCTAGCCACGAATTGAGCAAAAAAAATCTCTGACCATTTTATTCAAGAAAGTAATCATATTGTATGAAAACCAAAGAAAAGTAGTAAAAAATTTATCGAGAGAAAAATCTATATCTAAATATTAGCAAATAGTTTCTCAGATCTAGCATTTTTAAAATCCTCCTCTATAGCTTATATTCAATAGAATCTTCTTCATATTATTCGTTGAGAATAGAGTATATAACTAAGAGCTTGGTTGTATATAAACTAAATAACGTAATATCAGTGTTTAAAAGATTTTAGGAAACTTATCACGGTCATGAACTACATTAGACTTAATCTTATTTTAAACAGAGGACACAATAAAACCATTCGATTTATTTGCTGAAAAAGACGTTTCAGACGTGATTTTTATTTAAATTAATCATGACTTTAGAATAGTCATGTAGACAAAAATTTACTTTATAAATATATCTATATCCATTTTATTTTTTATATTCTCTAAAATTATATGTTTTCTATAAAGTTTATCCAAATTATAATAATGAATATAAGCAAAAATAAATTAAAAATCGTTAGGAATACTATTAAAATAATATATAAGATAAAATACTAAAAAAACACTGAAAATAACGTTTAAATATACCGATATTTTATATTAAAATATTAAGATTTCTAAAAGAAAATACTATTGTTCAAAATGATAGTGAAATGGGCGTCAATGCCGATCATACTTATATTCCTATCGAATCTAGCCAGTGTTTGTTTCGCTGATGAATATCATGTAACATCGTCTGAAATAAATGGATGGGATAGAAACTATGCAACTACATATTCTACAAGTATTTCACTTAGTTCTAAATTATTTTTCTTTACAACTACGATTACGTGGTATTTTATACATACTCCTATCTACTCAACATCAACTACTGTCACTCAATTTACCTCGGGCTTGAAATCTATATCTACTATAGTTTTAATTGGGACTACCCAAGGTGAGGACGGTTATGATACACTAGAGACGAGTACATATATTCTATATCCTATGTTAACTACTTTAAAAACAATTTCAACTGTAAGTACCTTTCCAGGTTTCATTACCTCTACCTATTCTACTGAATATAGTATATCAACCGGAGAAGATGGTTCCACCACAACTGAAATAATATATTATATTAAAATACCAAATGGATTATATCTTTCTACAACAACGGAAGGATGGACAGGTGCGTATTTTGTTACACATGCTACCTCGATCGTGACAACTTTAGGTTTCGATAATATATTAACAACGGGAACCGTGTATTATGTTTATAGTTCAAGAAATGAAGGGTCTTCAATAACAATACCATGGACACAAACTTATACTACATATTATTCAACCTCCATATCGTATGATGTTCTATTAGGTGTAACTCTAGGTACCACAACTTATTATTATATCCACATACCATCAAACGTGATTTCAAAAACCACCACTAATTTTGGTAATATATCATTTACGAAAACAGTTTCTACTGGTGTTGCTACTTTTACTGATATTGATGGAAATGTAACAACAGAATATCTATTCTACGTTGTAACCCCTCAACGTTCTGTAATTACCAGTATTACCTTTGAAGGTGATATAGGTGGCACTGTTATTTCGACATTCGAGACCTTTGTCAGCACCACTACAAATGATAATGGTAATGAGACAACCTTTACTACGTTTTACATTATAATCCCTACCGCTTTATTCCATACGACAACAACTGCTCCTTGGACAGGATACTATAAGGTTACTTACTCTAAAGACCTAACTACAGTGGTAAATGATGGAATGAAAACTACTAAAACAATATTTTACGTAGAGACTCCATTCTCCTGGGGTAAGTACATAACTCATCCATGGACAGGAAGTTATACTACATACACTCAAAGCGGCTATACAATAGCGTTTGGGTTTTGGTTTATATTTTTCGGTCTTTGGCCTTTTCCACGGTTTATCTTGTCAACACCAATAAGAGAAAAATCATTTACCAGTTATACAAGTGCCTGGAATAATTCTTTAACGTCTACATCGGTTAGAACAAGACTTGTTATTGGTTTTGATGACGAAACAACTACTGAAACAATATATTACATTTTAACGCCTGCACCTACTACTTCAACGACCACTTACTTCCAGGGCTCATATTCTGGATCAGATACTACTACGTTTTTAACAGCAACTACAAAAATTGGGGACAAATTTGACTTTACATGGGAAATCCTATATTATGTTTCTCTACCTATTAACAAAGCCAAATCAACTACACTCATACCCTGGACTGGTTCATATGTTACGACAAAATCAATATTGAAGGAAACAATTACTGATGATCTTGGAATCATTTCAACCATCACAATATATTTCATTAATACTCCCTCTTTAACACCTTCCCTTAAATATGTACCATGGACAGGACTATTTACGTCAACAATTCAAACAACTAATATTACTGCATTCGAGTATAAAAGTGGACTTCTCGCATTATGGACCCTTACAGTTATCGTAATTGAAACACCCATTAGGAAAAAAATAGAGTATGAAGAGACTTTTTGGACAGAAACTTATTCCACTACTTATTCTACGGATATTATCACTTCTACAGATTATTTAGGAAATGAGACCACTGAGACGATTTTTTATGTGTATACACCTGAAAGGGTGAGCTACATTACACAAGTTTTCCCGATGTCTGGTACTTTTGACTTCACAACGTTTTCTACTATTGTTTCTAAAATATACGGCGAGGATGGAGTTGAAACCACAGAGACAATTTATTATGTTGGTATACCGACTGCTGTTGGAGTTACTACAATATTTTCTTCATGGACAAATAATTATATTTCTATATTTTCAACTTCAATTTACGAGCGGCTATTCAAAAAGTCAACAATTTATTATATAGCAACCCCAATCGATACAGGAGAGATCTCATATGTACCTTGGGCCGGTGATTATACTTCAACTTTTTACACTACTGTTATTACCACTTTTGGTTATTCGGGGACTTTTCTTGGTGAGTGGACTAAAACTGTCTACTTGGTTGAAACTCCCACTTGGGTTGACACCATAACAAGTTTTAGTCCGTGGGAAAAAAAATATACTGAAACTTACTCAACTGTTGTAACAACTGAAAAAGATGATGATGGAAACTTCAGCACAAAAATCATATATTTTGTAAGAACACCATATCGAGCTACAACAACTGTTTCTACTACTGGTTGGAGTTTTAATCAAATTCGAGCCTTTTCAACAACATACTCAATTTTTACGGGCTCTGATGGCTTTGAATCAACTCTGATAATTTACTTAGTTGGGACACCTTCACATAATTATAAAAGTACAAGCTATCAAGGTTGGTCTAACAATTCAACATTAACATTTTCTACCATAATATCTACTTATTCCAATAGTAATAACTTTATTGTTACAGAAACTGTGTATATAGTTAAGACACCTTTAAGATACTTAACAACTACAAGTTATAAGATTATCTCTAATATATCTAAAAGATCCACATATGCTACTTCGATAGTAATATTTTCCGGTACTGACAAAAATGAGACTACGGAAACTATCTACTTTGTCCAACAACCAAAGATTACCTCCCAAACCACCACCTTCAGATATTGGAAAAATTCAAATACATTTACGTATTCGACACTGGTAACAATTACGGTCGATAAAGAGGGAAATTTAATTAATGAGACAGTGTATTTTGTAATTGCACCAATTCAAAATATAATAAAAACAAGTTACCAGGTTTGGAATAAAGAGACTACAACATATTCTACTGAAATTAGAATAATTACAGACTCAGTTGGTGGCAAAACAGCAGAAACCATCTATTATGTTAAAATACCAATTATAACCTCTACAAAAACAATATTTTCAGAATGGAAAAAGAAAGAATTTTCTACATACTCAACTAAACAAACTATAATTACCAATGACCAAGGAATAGAGATAATGGAATCAATATTCTATGTATACAAGCCGAATATCAATATATCCACTACAAGTTTCATAATTGCCGATGTCAGTAACCCTTTAACTTTCACCCGTGTTATTACTTTTGAAGGTTCTGATGGATTTGAAACAACGAAAACTTTATACGTGATAAAAACACGGCAAATTACTTCGTTTACATCAAACTTTTTTATATCAAATTCATCAAATTTTACATCCAATACTGGTGCTGAACAAGATTCAACATTGAGCTTACAATCGGAATTATTAAGTTCCTACTTTAACAGCAGTTTTGACACAACAGAAAGTTATCATGAAAGCTATTCAATTATGCCAAACTATTCAAATCCAACCCTTTCAATGAATGACTCTCAAGTGACCCTTGATATTTCTAATGAAACCACACAAAATTCAACAACATCATACATTAGTAAAAAATCAACGAAGAAATCCAATTTTCCAGAAAATGAAACATCAAATATTATAATAAATTCTACCATAGAGTTAAATAATAATCAAACTTACTCTAGCCTACAATATTCAAAAACTGAAACAAAACATAATAATACCGAGACTAACCTATCTACTACAAACAACAACACATATCAAGAAACAAGAAATTTACAGGAAACCCAAACAACCAAACAACCAATCGATCCAATTCCAAACACAGAAAGTAAAAAATCTATACAACCAACAGCGATCGATACTTCAAATTACCATAAATCCAAAATAGAAACTTCAGATATCTCATCGTTGACAGGATTACCATCTCCTATCACCACGACTTTCACTTCTGGTAGTCACACCGAAACCGATGTTGTCTCCTTCTACACTACTACTGATGCTGAAGGAAACACTGTCACAACATCAACGGTCTCATCGTTGACAGGATTACCATCTCCTATCACCACGACTTTTACTTCTGGTAGTCACACCGAAACCGATGTTGTCTCCTTCTACACTACTACTGATGCTGAAGGAAACACTGTCACAACATCAACGGTCTCATCGCTGACAGGATTACCATCTCCTATCACCACCACTATAACTTCTGGTAGTCACACCGAAACCGATGTTGTCTCCTTCTACACTACTACTGATGCTGAAGGAAACACTGTAACAACATCAACGGTCTCATCGCTGACAGGATTACCATCTCCTATCACCACGACTTTCACTTCTGGTAGTCACACCGAAACCGATGTTGTCTCCTTCTACACTACTACTGATGCTGAAGGAAACACTGTAACAACATCAACGGTCTCATCGCTAACAGGATTACCATCTCCTATCACCACCACTATAACTTCTGGTAGTCACACCGAAACCGATGTTGTCTCCTTCTACACTACTACTGATGCTGAAGGAAACACTGTCACAACATCAACGGTCTCATCGCTGACAGGATTACCATCTCCTATCACCACGACTTTCACTTCTGGTAGTCACACCGAAACCGATGTTGTCTCCTTCTACACTACTACTGATGCTGAAGGAAACACTGTCACAACATCAACGGTCTCATCGCTAACAGGATTACCATCTCCTATCACCACCACTATAACTTCTGGTAGTCACACCGAAACCGATGTTGTCTCCTTCTACACTACTACTGATGCTGAAGGAAACACTGTCACAACATCAACGGTCTCATCGCTGACAGGATTACCATCTCCTATCACCACCACTATAACTTCTGGTAGTCACACCGAAACCGATGTTGTCTCCTTCTACACTACTACTGATGCTGAAGGAAACACTGTCACAACATCAACGGTCTCATCGTTGACAGGATTAGCATCTCCTATCACCACGACTTTTACTTCTGGTAGTCACACCGAAACCGATGTTGTCTCCTTCTACACTACTACTGATGCTGAAGGAAACACTGTCACAACATCAACGGTCTCATCGCTGACAGGATTACCATCTCCTATCACCACGACTTTCACTTCTGGTAGTCACACCGAAACCGATGTTGTCTCCTTCTACACTACTACTGATGCTGAAGGAAACACTGTAACAACATCAACGGTCTCATCGTTGACAGGATTACCATCTCCTATCACCACGACTTTTACTTCTGGTAGTCACACCGAAACCGATGTTGTCTCCTTCTACACTACTACTGATGCTGAAGGAAACACTGTCACAACATCAACGGTCTCATCGTTGACAGGATTAGCATCTCCTATCACCACGACTTTCACTTCTGGTAGTCACACCGAAACCGATGTTGTCTCCTTCTACACTACTACTGATGCTGAAGGAAACACTGTAACAACATCAACGGTCTCATCGTTGACAGGATTACCATCTCCTATCACCACGACTTTTACTTCTGGTAGTCACACCGAAACCGATGTTGTCTCCTTCTACACTACTACTGATGCTGAAGGAAACACTGTCACAACATCAACGGTCTCATCGTTGACAGGATTAGCATCTCCTATCACCACGACTTTCACTTCTGGTAGTCACACCGAAACCGATGTTGTCTCCTTCTACACTACTACTGATGCTGAAGGAAACACTGTAACAACATCAACGGTCTCATCGTTGACAGGATTACCATCTCCTATCACCACGACTTTTACTTCTGGTAGTCACACCGAAACCGATGTTGTCTCCTTCTACACTACTACTGATGCTGAAGGAAACACTGTCACAACATCAACGGTCTCATCGTTGACAGGATTACCATCTCCTATCACCACGACTTTTACTTCTGGTAGTCACACCGAAACCGATGTTGTCTCCTTCTACACTACTACTGATGCTGAAGGAAACACTGTCACAACATCAACGGTCTCATCGTTGACAGGATTACCATCTCCTATCACCACGACTTTCACTTCTGGTAGTCACACCGAAACCGATGTTGTCTCCTTCTACACTACTACTGATGCTGAAGGAAACACTGTAACAACATCAACGGTCTCATCGTTGACAGGATTACCATCTCCTATCACCACCACTATAACTTCTGGTAGTCACACCGAAACCGATGTTGTCTCCTTCTACACTACTACTGATGCTGAAGGAAACACTGTCACAACATCAACGGTCTCATCGCTGACAGGATTACCATCTCCTATCACCACGACTTTCACTTCTGGTAGTCACACCGAAACCGATGTTGTCTCCTTCTACACTACTACTGATGCTGAAGGAAACACTGTAACAACATCAACGGTCTCATCGTTGACAGGATTACCATCTCCTATCACCACGACTTTCACTTCTGGTAGTCACACCGAAACCGATGTTGTCTCCTTCTACACTACTACTGATGCTGAAGGAAACACTGTCACAACATCAACGGTCTCATCGCTGACAGGATTACCATCTCCTATCACCACCACTATAACTTCTGGTAGTCACACCGAAACCGATGTTGTCTCCTTCTACACTACTACTGATGCTGAAGGAAACACTGTCACAACATCAACGGTCTCATCGTTGACAGGATTACCATCTCCTATCACCACGACTTTTACTTCTGGTAGTCACACCGAAACCGATGTTGTCTCCTTCTACACTACTACTGATGCTGAAGGAAACACTGTCACAACATCAACGGTCTCATCGTTGACAGGATTACCATCTCCTATCACCACCACTATAACTTCTGGTAGTCACACCGAAACCGATGTTGTCTCCTTCTACACTACTACTGATGCTGAAGGAAACACTGTCACAACATCAACGGTCTCATCGTTGACAGGATTAGCATCTCCTATCACCACGACTTTCACTTCTGGTAGTCACACCGAAACCGATGTTGTCTCCTTCTACACTACTACTGATGCTGAAGGAAACACTGTAACAACATCAACGGTCTCATCGTTGACAGGATTACCATCTCCTATCACCACGACTTTTACTTCTGGTAGTCACACCGAAACCGATGTTGTCTCCTTCTACACTACTACTGATGCTGAAGGAAACACTGTCACAACATCAACGGTCTCATCGTTGACAGGATTACCATCTCCTATCACCACGACTTTTACTTCTGGTAGTCACACCGAAACCGATGTTGTCTCCTTCTACACTACTACTGATGCTGAAGGAAACACTGTCACAACATCAACGGTCTCATCGTTGACAGGATTACCATCTCCTATCACCACGACTTTCACTTCTGGTAGTCACACCGAAACCGATGTTGTCTCCTTCTACACTACTACTGATGCTGAAGGAAACACTGTAACAACATCAACGGTCTCATCGTTGACAGGATTACCATCTCCTATCACCACCACTATAACTTCTGGTAGTCACACCGAAACCGATGTTGTCTCCTTCTACACTACTACTGATGCTGAAGGAAACACTGTCACAACATCAACGGTCTCATCGTTGACAGGATTACCATCTCCTATCACCACGACTTTCACTTCTGGTAGTCACACCGAAACCGATGTTGTCTCCTTCTACACTACTACTGATGCTGAAGGAAACACTGTCACAACATCAACGGTCTCATCGTTGACAGGATTACCATCTCCTATCACCACCACTATAACTTCTGGTAGTCACACCGAAACCGATGTTGTCTCCTTCTACACTACTACTGATGCTGAAGGAAACACTGTCACAACATCAACGGTCTCATCGTTGACAGGATTAGCATCTCCTATCACCACGACTTTCACTTCTGGTAGTCACACCGAAACCGATGTTGTCTCCTTCTACACTACTACTGATGCTGAAGGAAACACTGTCACAACATCAACGGTCTCATCGTTGACAGGATTACCATCTCCTATCACCACGACTTTTACTTCTGGTAGTCACACCGAAACCGATGTTGTCTCCTTCTACACTACTACTGATGCTGAAGGAAACACTGTCACAACATCAACGGTCTCATCGTTGACAGGATTAGCATCTCCTATCACCACGACTTTCACTTCTGGTAGTCACACCGAAACCGATGTTGTCTCCTTCTACACTACTACTGATGCTGAAGGAAACACTGTCACAACATCAACGGTCTCATCGCTAACAGGATTACCATCTCCTATCACCACCACTATAACTTCTGGTAGTCACACCGAAACCGATGTTGTCTCCTTCTACACTACTACTGATGCTGAAGGAAACACTGTCACAACATCAACGGTCTCATCGCTGACAGGATTACCATCTCCTATCACCACGACTTTCACTTCTGGTAGTCACACCGAAACCGATGTTGTCTCCTTCTACACTACTACTGATGCTGAAGGAAACACTGTAACAACATCAACGGTCTCATCGTTGACAGGATTACCATCTCCTATCACCACGACTTTTACTTCTGGTAGTCACACCGAAACCGATGTTGTCTCCTTCTACACTACTACTGATGCTGAAGGAAACACTGTCACAACATCAACGGTCTCATCGTTGACAGGATTAGCATCTCCTATCACCACGACTTTCACTTCTGGTAGTCACACCGAAACCGATGTTGTCTCCTTCTACACTACTACTGATGCTGAAGGAAACACTGTCACAACATCAACGGTCTCATCGTTGACAGGATTACCATCTCCTATCACCACGACTTTTACTTCTGGTAGTCACACCGAAACCGATGTTGTCTCCTTCTACACTACTACTGATGCTGAAGGAAACACTGTCACAACATCAACGGTCTCATCGTTGACAGGATTACCATCTCCTATCACCACCACTATAACTTCTGGTAGTCACACCGAAACCGATGTTGTCTCCTTCTACACTACTACTGATGCTGAAGGAAACACTGTCACAACATCAACGGTCTCATCGCTGACAGGATTACCATCTCCTATCACCACGACTTTCACTTCTGGTAGTCACACCGAAACCGATGTTGTCTCCTTCTACACTACTACTGATGCTGAAGGAAACACTGTCACAACATCAACGGTCTCATCGTTGACAGGATTACCATCTCCTATCACCACGACTTTTACTTCTGGTAGTCACACCGAAACCGATGTTGTCTCCTTCTACACTACTACTGATGCTGAAGGAAACACTGTCACAACATCAACGGTCTCATCGTTGACAGGATTACCATCTCCTATCACCACCACTATAACTTCTGGTAGTCACACCGAAACCGATGTTGTCTCCTTCTACACTACTACTGATGCTGAAGGAAACACTGTCACAACATCAACGGTCTCATCGTTGACAGGATTAGCATCTCCTATCACCACGACTTTCACTTCTGGTAGTCACACCGAAACCGATGTTGTCTCCTTCTACACTACTACTGATGCTGAAGGAAACACTGTCACAACATCAACGGTCTCATCGCTAACAGGATTACCATCTCCTATCACCACCACTATAACTTCTGGTAGTCACACCGAAACCGATGTTGTCTCCTTCTACACTACTACTGATGCTGAAGGAAACACTGTCACAACATCAACGGTCTCATCGCTGACAGGATTACCATCTCCTATCACCACGACTTTCACTTCTGGTAGTCACACCGAAACCGATGTTGTCTCCTTCTACACTACTACTGATGCTGAAGGAAACACTGTCACAACATCAACGGTCTCATCGTTGACAGGATTACCATCTCCTATCACCACCACTATAACTTCTGGTAGTCACACCGAAACCGATGTTGTCTCCTTCTACACTACTACTGATGCTGAAGGAAACACTGTCACAACATCAACGGTCTCATCGCTGACAGGATTACCATCTCCTATCACCACGACTTTCACTTCTGGTAGTCACACCGAAACCGATGTTGTCTCCTTCTACACTACTACTGATGCTGAAGGAAACACTGTCACAACATCAACGGTCTCATCGCTAACAGGATTACCATCTCCTATCACCACCACTATAACTTCTGGTAGTCACACCGAAACCGATGTTGTCTCCTTCTACACTACTACTGATGCTGAAGGAAACACTGTAACAACATCAACGGTCTCATCGTTGACAGGATTACCATCTCCTATCACCACCACTATAACTTCTGGTAGTCACACCGAAACCGATGTTGTCTCCTTCTACACTACTACTGATGCTGAAGGAAACACTGTCACAACATCAACGGTCTCATCGCTGACAGGATTACCATCTCCTATCACCACGACTTTCACTTCTGGTAGTCACACCGAAACCGATGTTGTCTCCTTCTACACTACTACTGATGCTGAAGGAAACACTGTCACAACATCAACGGTCTCATCGTTGACAGGATTACCATCTCCTATCACCACGACTTTTACTTCTGGTAGTCACACCGAAACCGATGTTGTCTCCTTCTACACTACTACTGATGCTGAAGGAAACACTGTCACAACATCAACGGTCTCATCGTTGACAGGATTACCATCTCCTATCACCACCACTATAACTTCTGGTAGTCACACCGAAACCGATGTTGTCTCCTTCTACACTACTACTGATGCTGAAGGAAACACTGTCACAACATCAACGGTCTCATCGTTGACAGGATTAGCATCTCCTATCACCACGACTTTCACTTCTGGTAGTCACACCGAAACCGATGTTGTCTCCTTCTACACTACTACTGATGCTGAAGGAAACACTGTCACAACATCAACGGTCTCATCGCTAACAGGATTACCATCTCCTATCACCACCACTATAACTTCTGGTAGTCACACCGAAACCGATGTTGTCTCCTTCTACACTACTACTGATGCTGAAGGAAACACTGTCACAACATCAACGGTCTCATCGCTGACAGGATTACCATCTCCTATCACCACGACTTTCACTTCTGGTAGTCACACCGAAACCGATGTTGTCTCCTTCTACACTACTACTGATGCTGAAGGAAACACTGTCACAACATCAACGGTCTCATCGCTAACAGGATTACCATCTCCTATCACCACCACTATAACTTCTGGTAGTCACACCGAAACCGATGTTGTCTCCTTCTACACTACTACTGATGCTGAAGGAAACACTGTCACAACATCAACGGTCTCATCGTTGACAGGATTACCATCTCCTATCACCACGACTTTTACTTCTGGTAGTCACACCGAAACCGATGTTGTCTCCTTCTACACTACTACTGATGCTGAAGGAAACACTGTCACAACATCAACGGTCTCATCGTTGACAGGATTACCATCTCCTATCACCACCACTATAACTTCTGGTAGTCACACCGAAACCGATGTTGTCTCCTTCTACACTACTACTGATGCTGAAGGAAACACTGTCACAACATCAACGGTCTCATCGCTGACAGGATTACCATCTCCTATCACCACGACTTTCACTTCTGGTAGTCACACCGAAACCGATGTTGTCTCCTTCTACACTACTACTGATGCTGAAGGAAACACTGTCACAACATCAACGGTCTCATCGTTGACAGGATTAGCATCTCCTATCACCACGACTTTCACTTCTGGTAGTCACACCGAAACCGATGTTGTCTCCTTCTACACTACTACTGATGCTGAAGGAAACACTGTCACAACATCAACGGTCTCATCGTTGACAGGATTAGCATCTCCTATCACCACCACTATAACTTCTGGTAGTCACACCGAAACCGATGTTGTCTCCTTCTACACTACTACTGATGCTGAAGGAAACACTGTCACAACATCAACGGTCTCATCGTTGACAGGATTAGCATCTCCTATCACCACGACTTTCACTTCTGGTAGTCACACCGAAACCGATGTTGTCTCCTTCTACACTACTACTGATGCTGAAGGAAACACTGTCACAACATCAACGGTCTCATCGTTGACAGGATTACCATCTCCTATCACCACGACTTTTACTTCTGGTAGTCACACCGAAACCGATGTTGTCTCCTTCTACACTACTACTGATGCTGAAGGAAACACTGTCACAACATCAACGGTCTCATCGTTGACAGGATTAGCATCTCCTATCACCACGACTTTCACTTCTGGTAGTCACACCGAAACCGATGTTGTCTCCTTCTACACTACTACTGATGCTGAAGGAAACACTGTCACAACATCAACGGTCTCATCGCTAACAGGATTACCATCTCCTATCACCACCACTATAACTTCTGGTAGTCACACCGAAACCGATGTTGTCTCCTTCTACACTACTACTGATGCTGAAGGAAACACTGTAACAACATCAACGGTCTCATCGTTGACAGGATTACCATCTCCTATCACCACCACTATAACTTCTGGTAGTCACACCGAAACCGATGTTGTCTCCTTCTACACTACTACTGATGCTGAAGGAAACACTGTCACAACATCAACGGTCTCATCGTTGACAGGATTACCATCTCCTATCACCACGACTTTTACTTCTGGTAGTCACACCGAAACCGATGTTGTCTCCTTCTACACTACTACTGATGCTGAAGGAAACACTGTCACAACATCAACGGTCTCATCGTTGACAGGATTACCATCTCCTATCACCACGACTTTTACTTCTGGTAGTCACACCGAAACCGATGTTGTCTCCTTCTACACTACTACTGATGCTGAAGGAAACACTGTCACAACATCAACGGTCTCATCGTTGACAGGATTAGCATCTCCTATCACCACCACTATAACTTCTGGTAGTCACACCGAAACCGATGTTGTCTCCTTCTACACTACTACTGATGCTGAAGGAAACACTGTCACAACATCAACGGTCTCATCGTTGACAGGATTAGCATCTCCTATCACCACGACTTTCACTTCTGGTAGTCACACCGAAACCGATGTTGTCTCCTTCTACACTACTACTGATGCTGAAGGAAACACTGTCACAACATCAACGGTCTCATCGTTGACAGGATTACCATCTCCTATCACCACGACTTTTACTTCTGGTAGTCACACCGAAACCGATGTTGTCTCCTTCTACACTACTACTGATGCTGAAGGAAACACTGTCACAACATCAACGGTCTCATCGTTGACAGGATTACCATCTCCTATCACCACGACTTTTACTTCTGGTAGTCACACCGAAACCGATGTTGTCTCCTTCTACACTACTACTGATGCTGAAGGAAACACTGTCACAACATCAACGGTCTCATCGTTGACAGGATTACCATCTCCTATCACCACCACTATAACTTCTGGTAGTCACACCGAAACCGATGTTGTCTCCTTCTACACTACTACTGATGCTGAAGGAAACACTGTAACAACATCAACGGTCTCATCGTTGACAGGATTACCATCTCCTATCACCACGACTTTTACTTCTGGTAGTCACACCGAAACCGATGTTGTCTCCTTCTACACTACTACTGATGCTGAAGGAAACACTGTCACAACATCAACGGTCTCATCGTTGACAGGATTACCATCTCCTATCACCACCACTATAACTTCTGGTAGTCACACCGAAACCGATGTTGTCTCCTTCTACACTACTACTGATGCTGAAGGAAACACTGTCACAACATCAACGGTCTCATCGTTGACAGGATTAGCATCTCCTATCACCACGACTTTCACTTCTGGTAGTCACACCGAAACCGATGTTGTCTCCTTCTACACTACTACTGATGCTGAAGGAAACACTGTCACAACATCAACGGTCTCATCGTTGACAGGATTAGCATCTCCTATCACCACCACTATAACTTCTGGTAGTCACACCGAAACCGATGTTGTCTCCTTCTACACTACTACTGATGCTGAAGGAAACACTGTCACAACATCAACGGTCTCATCGTTGACAGGATTACCATCTCCTATCACCACGACTTTTACTTCTGGTAGTCACACCGAAACCGATGTTGTCTCCTTCTACACTACTACTGATGCTGAAGGAAACACTGTCACAACATCAACGGTCTCATCGTTGACAGGATTAGCATCTCCTATCACCACGACTTTCACTTCTGGTAGTCACACCGAAACCGATGTTGTCTCCTTCTACACTACTACTGATGCTGAAGGAAACACTGTCACAACATCAACGGTCTCATCGCTGACAGGATTACCATCTCCTATCACCACGACTTTCACTTCTGGTAGTCACACCGAAACCGATGTTGTCTCCTTCTACACTACTACTGATGCTGAAGGAAACACTGTAACAACATCAACGGTCTCATCGTTGACAGGATTACCATCTCCTATCACCACGACTTTTACTTCTGGTAGTCACACCGAAACCGATGTTGTCTCCTTCTACACTACTACTGATGCTGAAGGAAACACTGTCACAACATCAACGGTCTCATCGTTGACAGGATTAGCATCTCCTATCACCACGACTTTCACTTCTGGTAGTCACACCGAAACCGATGTTGTCTCCTTCTACACTACTACTGATGCTGAAGGAAACACTGTCACAACATCAACGGTCTCATCGTTGACAGGATTACCATCTCCTATCACCACGACTTTTACTTCTGGTAGTCACACCGAAACCGATGTTGTCTCCTTCTACACTACTACTGATGCTGAAGGAAACACTGTCACAACATCAACGGTCTCATCGTTGACAGGATTACCATCTCCTATCACCACGACTTTTACTTCTGGTAGTCACACCGAAACCGATGTTGTCTCCTTCTACACTACTACTGATGCTGAAGGAAACACTGTCACAACATCAACGGTCTCATCGTTGACAGGATTACCATCTCCTATCACCACCACTATAACTTCTGGTAGTCACACCGAAACCGATGTTGTCTCCTTCTACACTACTACTGATGCTGAAGGAAACACTGTCACAACATCAACGGTCTCATCGTTGACAGGATTAGCATCTCCTATCACCACGACTTTCACTTCTGGTAGTCACACCGAAACCGATGTTGTCTCCTTCTACACTACTACTGATGCTGAAGGAAACACTGTCACAACATCAACGGTCTCATCGTTGACAGGATTAGCATCTCCTATCACCACGACTTTCACTTCTGGTAGTCACACCGAAACCGATGTTGTCTCCTTCTACACTACTACTGATGCTGAAGGAAACACTGTCACAACATCAACGGTCTCATCGTTGACAGGATTACCATCTCCTATCACCACGACTTTTACTTCTGGTAGTCACACCGAAACCGATGTTGTCTCCTTCTACACTACTACTGATGCTGAAGGAAACACTGTCACAACATCAACGGTCTCATCGTTGACAGGATTACCATCTCCTATCACCACGACTTTCACTTCTGGTAGTCACACCGAAACCGATGTTGTCTCCTTCTACACTACTACTGATGCTGAAGGAAACACTGTAACAACATCAACGGTCTCATCGTTGACAGGATTACCATCTCCTATCACCACGACTTTTACTTCTGGTAGTCACACCGAAACCGATGTTGTCTCCTTCTACACTACTACTGATGCTGAAGGAAACACTGTCACAACATCAACGGCCTCATCGTTGACAGGATTAGCATCTCCTATCACCACGACTTTCACTTCTGGTAGTCACACCGAAACCGATGTTGTCTCCTTCTACACTACTACTGATGCTGAAGGAAACACTGTCACAACATCAACGGTCTCATCGCTGACAGGATTAGCATCTCCTATCACCACGACTTTCACTTCTGGTAGTCACACCGAAACCGATGTTGTCTCCTTCTACACTACTACTGATGCTGAAGGAAACACTGTAACAACATCAACGGTCTCATCGCTGACAGGATTACCATCTCCTATCACCACGACTTTCACTTCTGGTAGTCACACCGAAACCGATGTTGTCTCCTTCTACACTACTACTGATGCTGAAGGAAACACTGTCACAACATCAACGGTCTCATCGTTGACAGGATTAGCATCTCCTATCACCACGACTTTTACTTCTGGTAGTCACACCGAAACCGATGTTGTCTCCTTCTACACTACTACTGATGCTGAAGGAAACACTGTCACAACATCAACGGTCTCATCGTTGACAGGATTAGCATCTCCTATCACCACGACTTTCACTTCTGGTAGTCACACCGAAACCGATGTTGTCTCCTTCTACACTACTACTGATGCTGAAGGAAACACTGTCACAACATCAACGGTCTCATCGTTGACAGGATTAGCATCTCCTATCACCACGACTTTTACTTCTGGTAGTCACACCGAAACCGATGTTGTCTCCTTCTACACTACTACTGATGCTGAAGGAAACACTGTCACAACATCAACGGTCTCATCGCTGACAGGATTACCATCTCCTATCACCACGACTTTCACTTCTGGTAGTCACACCGAAACCGATGTTGTCTCCTTCTACACTACTACTGATGCTGAAGGAAACACTGTCACAACATCAACGGTCTCATCGCTGACAGGATTACCATCTCCTATCACCACGACTTTTACTTCTGGTAGTCACACCGAAACCGATGTTGTCTCCTTCTACACTACTACTGATGCTGAAGGAAACACTGTCACAACATCAACGGCCTCATCGTTGACAGGATTAGCATCTCCTATCACCACGACTTTCACTTCTGGTAGTCACACCGAAACCGATGTTGTCTCCTTCTACACTACTACTGATGCTGAAGGAAACACTGTCACAACATCAACGGTCTCATCGCTAACAGGATTAGCATCTCCTATCACCACCACTATAACTTCTGGTAGTCACACCGAAACCGATGTTGTCTCCTTCTACACTACTACTGATGCTGAAGGAAACACTGTCACAACATCAACGGTCTCATCGCTGACAGGATTAGCATCTCCTATCACCACGACTTTCACTTCTGGTAGTCACACCGAAACCGATGTTGTCTCCTTCTACACTACTACTGATGCTGAAGGAAACACTGTAACAACATCAACGGTCTCATCGTTGACAGGATTACCATCTCCTATCACCACGACTTTTACTTCTGGTAGTCACACCGAAACCGATGTTGTCTCCTTCTACACTACTACTGATGCTGAAGGAAACACTGTCACAACATCAACGGTCTCATCGTTGACAGGATTACCATCTCCTATCACCACGACTTTCACTTCTGGTAGTCACACCGAAACCGATGTTGTCTCCTTCTACACTACTACTGATGCTGAAGGAAACACTGTCACAACATCAACGGTCTCATCGTTGACAGGATTAGCATCTCCTATCACCACCACTATAACTTCTGGTAGTCACACCGAAACCGATGTTGTCTCCTTCTACACTACTACTGATGCTGAAGGAAACACTGTCACAACATCAACGGTCTCATCGTTGACAGGATTAGCATCTCCTATCACCACGACTTTCACTTCTGGTAGTCACACCGAAACCGATGTTGTCTCCTTCTACACTACTACTGATGCTGAAGGAAACACTGTCACAACATCAACGGTCTCATCGCTGACAGGATTACCATCTCCTATCACCACGACTTTCACTTCTGGTAGTCACACCGAAACCGATGTTGTCTCCTTCTACACTACTACTGATGCTGAAGGAAACACTGTCACAACATCAACGGTCTCATCGTTGACAGGATTAGCATCTCCTATCACCACGACTTTCACTTCTGGTAGTCACACCGAAACCGATGTTGTCTCCTTCTACACTACTACTGATGCTGAAGGAAACACTGTCACAACATCAACGGTCTCATCGTTGACAGGATTAGCATCTCCTATCACCACGACTTTCACTTCTGGTAGTCACACCGAAACCGATGTTGTCTCCTTCTACACTACTACTGATGCTGAAGGAAACACTGTCACAACATCAACGGTCTCATCGTTGACAGGATTACCATCTCCTATCACCACCACTATAACTTCTGGTAGTCACACCGAAACCGATGTTGTCTCCTTCTACACTACTACTGATGCTGAAGGAAACACTGTCACAACATCAACGGTCTCATCGTTGACAGGATTAGCATCTCCTATCACCACGACTTTCACTTCTGGTAGTCACACCGAAACCGATGTTGTCTCCTTCTACACTACTACTGATGCTGAAGGAAACACTGTCACAACATCAACGGTCTCATCGTTGACAGGATTACCATCTCCTATCACCACCACTATAACTTCTGGTAGTCACACCGAAACCGATGTTGTCTCCTTCTACACTACTACTGATGCTGAAGGAAACACTGTCACAACATCAACGGTCTCATCGCTGACAGGATTACCATCTCCTATCACCACGACTTTCACTTCTGGTAGTCACACCGAAACCGATGTTGTCTCCTTCTACACTACTACTGATGCTGAAGGAAACACTGTAACAACATCAACGGTCTCATCGTTGACAGGATTACCATCTCCTATCACCACGACTTTTACTTCTGGTAGTCACACCGAAACCGATGTTGTCTCCTTCTACACTACTACTGATGCTGAAGGAAACACTGTCACAACATCAACGGTCTCATCGTTGACAGGATTAGCATCTCCTATCACCACGACTTTCACTTCTGGTAGTCACACCGAAACCGATGTTGTCTCCTTCTACACTACTACTGATGCTGAAGGAAACACTGTCACAACATCAACGGTCTCATCGTTGACAGGATTACCATCTCCTATCACCACGACTTTTACTTCTGGTAGTCACACCGAAACCGATGTTGTCTCCTTCTACACTACTACTGATGCTGAAGGAAACACTGTCACAACATCAACGGTCTCATCGTTGACAGGATTAGCATCTCCTATCACCACGACTTTCACTTCTGGTAGTCACACCGAAACCGATGTTGTCTCCTTCTACACTACTACTGATGCTGAAGGAAACACTGTCACAACATCAACGGTCTCATCGCTAACAGGATTACCATCTCCTATCACCACCACTATAACTTCTGGTAGTCACACCGAAACCGATGTTGTCTCCTTCTACACTACTACTGATGCTGAAGGAAACACTGTCACAACATCAACGGTCTCATCGCTGACAGGATTACCATCTCCTATCACCACGACTTTCACTTCTGGTAGTCACACCGAAACCGATGTTGTCTCCTTCTACACTACTACTGATGCTGAAGGAAACACTGTAACAACATCAACGGTCTCATCGTTGACAGGATTACCATCTCCTATCACCACGACTTTTACTTCTGGTAGTCACACCGAAACCGATGTTGTCTCCTTCTACACTACTACTGATGCTGAAGGAAACACTGTCACAACATCAACGGTCTCATCGTTGACAGGATTAGCATCTCCTATCACCACGACTTTCACTTCTGGTAGTCACACCGAAACCGATGTTGTCTCCTTCTACACTACTACTGATGCTGAAGGAAACACTGTCACAACATCAACGGTCTCATCGCTGACAGGATTACCATCTCCTATCACCACGACTTTCACTTCTGGTAGTCACACCGAAACCGATGTTGTCTCCTTCTACACTACTACTGATGCTGAAGGAAACACTGTAACAACATCAACGGTCTCATCGTTGACAGGATTACCATCTCCTATCACCACGACTTTTACTTCTGGTAGTCACACCGAAACCGATGTTGTCTCCTTCTACACTACTACTGATGCTGAAGGAAACACTGTCACAACATCAACGGTCTCATCGTTGACAGGATTAGCATCTCCTATCACCACGACTTTCACTTCTGGTAGTCACACCGAAACCGATGTTGTCTCCTTCTACACTACTACTGATGCTGAAGGAAACACTGTCACAACATCAACGGTCTCATCGTTGACAGGATTACCATCTCCTATCACCACGACTTTTACTTCTGGTAGTCACACCGAAACCGATGTTGTCTCCTTCTACACTACTACTGATGCTGAAGGAAACACTGTCACAACATCAACGGTCTCATCGTTGACAGGATTACCATCTCCTATCACCACGACTTTTACTTCTGGTAGTCACACCGAAACCGATGTTGTCTCCTTCTACACTACTACTGATGCTGAAGGAAACACTGTCACAACATCAACGGTCTCATCGTTGACAGGATTACCATCTCCTATCACCACCACTATAACTTCTGGTAGTCACACCGAAACCGATGTTGTCTCCTTCTACACTACTACTGATGCTGAAGGAAACACTGTAACAACATCAACGGTCTCATCGTTGACAGGATTACCATCTCCTATCACCACGACTTTTACTTCTGGTAGTCACACCGAAACCGATGTTGTCTCCTTCTACACTACTACTGATGCTGAAGGAAACACTGTCACAACATCAACGGTCTCATCGTTGACAGGATTACCATCTCCTATCACCACCACTATAACTTCTGGTAGTCACACCGAAACCGATGTTGTCTCCTTCTACACTACTACTGATGCTGAAGGAAACACTGTCACAACATCAACGGTCTCATCGTTGACAGGATTAGCATCTCCTATCACCACGACTTTCACTTCTGGTAGTCACACCGAAACCGATGTTGTCTCCTTCTACACTACTACTGATGCTGAAGGAAACACTGTCACAACATCAACGGTCTCATCGTTGACAGGATTAGCATCTCCTATCACCACCACTATAACTTCTGGTAGTCACACCGAAACCGATGTTGTCTCCTTCTACACTACTACTGATGCTGAAGGAAACACTGTCACAACATCAACGGTCTCATCGTTGACAGGATTACCATCTCCTATCACCACGACTTTTACTTCTGGTAGTCACACCGAAACCGATGTTGTCTCCTTCTACACTACTACTGATGCTGAAGGAAACACTGTCACAACATCAACGGTCTCATCGTTGACAGGATTACCATCTCCTATCACCACGACTTTCACTTCTGGTAGTCACACCGAAACCGATGTTGTCTCCTTCTACACTACTACTGATGCTGAAGGAAACACTGTAACAACATCAACGGTCTCATCGTTGACAGGATTACCATCTCCTATCACCACCACTATAACTTCTGGTAGTCACACCGAAACCGATGTTGTCTCCTTCTACACTACTACTGATGCTGAAGGAAACACTGTCACAACATCAACGGTCTCATCGCTGACAGGATTACCATCTCCTATCACCACGACTTTCACTTCTGGTAGTCACACCGAAACCGATGTTGTCTCCTTCTACACTACTACTGATGCTGAAGGAAACACTGTCACAACATCAACGGTCTCATCGTTGACAGGATTACCATCTCCTATCACCACCACTATAACTTCTGGTAGTCACACCGAAACCGATGTTGTCTCCTTCTACACTACTACTGATGCTGAAGGAAACACTGTCACAACATCAACGGTCTCATCGTTGACAGGATTAGCATCTCCTATCACCACGACTTTCACTTCTGGTAGTCACACCGAAACCGATGTTGTCTCCTTCTACACTACTACTGATGCTGAAGGAAACACTGTCACAACATCAACGGTCTCATCGCTGACAGGATTACCATCTCCTATCACCACCACTATAACTTCTGGTAGTCACACCGAAACCGATGTTGTCTCCTTCTACACTACTACTGATGCTGAAGGAAACACTGTCACAACATCAACGGTCTCATCGTTGACAGGATTAGCATCTCCTATCACCACGACTTTCACTTCTGGTAGTCACACCGAAACCGATGTTGTCTCCTTCTACACTACTACTGATGCTGAAGGAAACACTGTAACAACATCAACGGTCTCATCGTTGACAGGATTACCATCTCCTATCACCACGACTTTTACTTCTGGTAGTCACACCGAAACCGATGTTGTCTCCTTCTACACTACTACTGATGCTGAAGGAAACACTGTCACAACATCAACGGTCTCATCGTTGACAGGATTAGCATCTCCTATCACCACGACTTTCACTTCTGGTAGTCACACCGAAACCGATGTTGTCTCCTTCTACACTACTACTGATGCTGAAGGAAACACTGTAACAACATCAACGGTCTCATCGTTGACAGGATTACCATCTCCTATCACCACGACTTTTACTTCTGGTAGTCACACCGAAACCGATGTTGTCTCCTTCTACACTACTACTGATGCTGAAGGAAACACTGTCACAACATCAACGGTCTCATCGTTGACAGGATTACCATCTCCTATCACCACCACTATAACTTCTGGTAGTCACACCGAAACCGATGTTGTCTCCTTCTACACTACTACTGATGCTGAAGGAAACACTGTCACAACATCAACGGTCTCATCGTTGACAGGATTAGCATCTCCTATCACCACCACTATAACTTCTGGTAGTCACACCGAAACCGATGTTGTCTCCTTCTACACTACTACTGATGCTGAAGGAAACACTGTCACAACATCAACGGTCTCATCGTTGACAGGATTACCATCTCCTATCACCACGACTTTTACTTCTGGTAGTCACACCGAAACCGATGTTGTCTCCTTCTACACTACTACTGATGCTGAAGGAAACACTGTCACAACATCAACGGTCTCATCGTTGACAGGATTAGCATCTCCTATCACCACGACTTTCACTTCTGGTAGTCACACCGAAACCGATGTTGTCTCCTTCTACACTACTACTGATGCTGAAGGAAACACTGTCACAACATCAACGGTCTCATCGTTGACAGGATTACCATCTCCTATCACCACCACTATAACTTCTGGTAGTCACACCGAAACCGATGTTGTCTCCTTCTACACTACTACTGATGCTGAAGGAAACACTGTCACAACATCAACGGTCTCATCGTTGACAGGATTAGCATCTCCTATCACCACGACTTTCACTTCTGGTAGTCACACCGAAACCGATGTTGTCTCCTTCTACACTACTACTGATGCTGAAGGAAACACTGTCACAACATCAACGGTCTCATCGTTGACAGGATTACCATCTCCTATCACCACCACTATAACTTCTGGTAGTCACACCGAAACCGATGTTGTCTCCTTCTACACTACTACTGATGCTGAAGGAAACACTGTCACAACATCAACGGTCTCATCGCTGACAGGATTACCATCTCCTATCACCACCACTATAACTTCTGGTAGTCACACCGAAACCGATGTTGTCTCCTTCTACACTACTACTGATGCTGAAGGAAACACTGTCACAACATCAACGGTCTCATCGTTGACAGGATTACCATCTCCTATCACCACGACTTTCACTTCTGGTAGTCACACCGAAACCGATGTTGTCTCCTTCTACACTACTACTGATGCTGAAGGAAACACTGTCACAACATCAACGGTCTCATCGTTGACAGGATTACCATCTCCTATCACCACGACTTTCACTTCTGGTAGTCACACCGAAACCGATGTTGTCTCCTTCTACACTACTACTGATGCTGAAGGAAACACTGTCACAACATCAACGGCCTCATCGTTGACAGGATTAGCATCTCCTATCACCACGACTTTTACTTCTGGTAGTCACACCGAAACCGATGTTGTCTCCTTCTACACTACTACTGATGCTGAAGGAAACACTGTCACAACATCAACGGTCTCATCGTTGACAGGATTACCATCTCCTATCACCACCACTATAACTTCTGGTAGTCACACCGAAACCGATGTTGTCTCCTTCTACACTACTACTGATGCTGAAGGAAACACTGTCACAACATCAACGGTCTCATCGTTGACAGGATTACCATCACCTATCACCACCACTATAACTTCTGGTAGTCACACCGAAACCGATGTTGTCTCCTTCTACACTACTACTGATGCTGAAGGAAACACTGTCACAACATCAACGGTCTCATCGTTGACAGGATTACCATCTCCTATCACCACCACTATAACTTCTGGTAGTCACACCGAAACCGATGTTGTCTCCTTCTACACTACTACTGATGCTGAAGGAAACACTGTCACAACATCAACGGTCTCATCGCTGACAGGATTACCATCTCCTATCACCACCACTATAACTTCTGGTAGTCACACCGAAGCCGATGTTGTTTTTTTTGTTAGTAAGTCTTCGTTGAGTTCGTTATATTTGGTGAATTCTGGTTTTAGTGCTGATGTTGATGTCACGGAGAATTGGAAGTCGGGTTCAGATAACGGAGTTTCGGAATCATATATTTCTTCCGAGTATCATTCAATTTTTGTTTATCAGAATTCATCTATTGGAGGTTCTAGTATCGGATCTGTGCATGTATCCGAAGCTGCCACGATAAGTATCAACTCCACTCCAATTACAATCTGTTCATATTTTGTTGTTCATAAAACTCAATCATTTTCTATAAATGCTGATATAAGGCAGTCTTCAAGAGAATCAGACTCGGAAAGTTCTTCATATGCAAATTTAGAGTTAAAGTCATGCGATAATTTCAACCCCTAAAGATAATTCAACAGTCAGTAGTTTAATTTCAATGCATCCTTCAAGTGAAACTGCTACTCATATTATTACAACTGACTCTGCAGGTCACACAACTGTGATAACCTCACCAGTTCCAACATCTTCTGTTGCTAGTGAAACTGCTAAACCAACAGATAACACTGTTACCCATATCACCACCACCGACTCTGCAGGTCACACAACTGTGATAACCTCACCAGTTCCAACATCTTCTGTTGCTAGTGAAACTGCTAAACCAACAGATAACACTGTTACCCATATCACCACCACCGACTCTGCAGGTCACACAACTGTTATAACATCATCTGTTCCAAATTCTAATACACAAAGTGTAACTACATTAGTTCCATCAGGTAGCTATATGTCGACTGTATCTTCAGATTTGAATACTTCTGTCACTGATGATATCACATCATCTGGATCTAATCCATCTGCTAATGTAGGTATCTCATCTTCTTATGAAGGTGCTGGTGTATCAAATAAGATAAGCAATTCCTTATCCGGTTTGATTGGTATGATTGTTTTGGCAATTTTGGTTTAGTCAATTTCTAATTTATAACTACAGTTTTTAGTTCGTTAATTTATTCAAATATTGTATAAATAATCAAGACAATATATATTATTTGTGTTATTTTATTAAAGTTAAATTTAGAGAAGAAGCTGTTCTTCAGCAGATCCATATTAAAATACTGTTCTTGTTTTATTAGATGAAATGTTTATGCTATATAAAGGGATATTTTATTATTTTAATGAGACTATTCCTACCGTCTATCTAATATTTATTTAATACTGTATAATATAATAAAAAGATTAGTGTCCCAATTATATAGCTTATAATAATGAATTACAACCTCGAAACTGTTAATTACTCCTTCTCAGTTTCGAATCTGAGTCGACATATACTAGTGTATAACATTTTATGAACTTGAGAATGTTAAATAAGTTAAAAAATCAAATAGAATTCGATGCTCGTTTAAATAGCTTGTGCTCAATGTTTCTATTATTTTTTTGTGTGAAATCAATACGATATTTATAAATATTCAACTGTCTATATACCATCTGAGCTCTTTCTTTCTATGCATTAAAGATATTATTGTTAAAATACATATATTGTCGAATCTTATTTAGTATTGAAATGAATAGTGATGAAAACATATTTTAGAATACCAATCCCATTATTAAGTATTTATAAATTTTATAATATTTAAATATAAAATATGTCAAAGTGAAGGATTAATACACCAGAATACGAATACAATGTAGTTGTAGTATGTATTTTAATTGGAGAGTTGTATATAAAGTAATAATGTACCCCTTCTTAAAACCATAATAGTGACTAAATTGGTGGATAGTATCCTTTTGCTTTAGCATTTCTTAGAAAACATTAATGTCAGTTAAATCACTTCTATTTAAGTAAATATAGATTACAAATTGATCAAGCATTTTACTGTAGAGAATCGGTGGAGGCCTTATTATACTGTCTATCTGTGATGTATTGTTTGGTCGGTATTTGGTAAGTTTTAATTATTATATAGTTGTATAGTTAATTTGGTGTACATTAGAATAAAGTCTGTTATTCATGTATTCTAGAGAAACTTAATGTGGAGATCTGTATTAGAGAGTAAATATACTACTAATTAATAATGTTACTGATGTTTTCTTTATATGCAAGTTAGCATACTAAATAATATACAATAATATACAATAATATACAATAACATACAATAATCACTATTTATAGCAATAAATGTAACTGAAGTTAGTTTTGGCAATTGTTATTCTAATTATTCCATTGAATCGCAGTAACCTTACTATTCAGGTATAACTGCACCTCTATTAAAAACACGGTGATATAATTTATGACATCCTTATGTGATAAGGATTTGGTATTGATTACGCTTAAGTACAAAGGGATAAAAATATTTATATATTTAATATTACTGTATAGTTATTATAATAGTTTGATAACCTCATATATCTTTTAACTAATAACCTTAAGTATTTATATCTACGGCTTGTTTCCCTATATAAATACATTAATACATTAATATTTAATATTCCGGACAAAAGAATTCAATATGATGAAATTTATGTTTTGTTAGTTTTATATTTAGTGCTATAAATATTATTTATTACCAGTTGGATAAAAATGAAACTCATAATAGAATAAATATTACAAAATATAAAATTATTTATATTAATATATAAGAAAAAGAAGAGTTATAATAAAAAAAGTTGAATTATACAAGTTAATTTAATGACAGACAACCATTAACAAGAATTAATGACTAGCTAAGAAAGGAGCAAGTTGACATATTGAAGGTATATTAAATAAACTAGTTCTGTGACAGACATAGGAATTAGTGTATGGTAAAGACTGATATTATTCTGGTTTCAATTTCTGTTGGAGAGATCTTAAAGTCTTATGAGGTGGGAATATATATAATTTAGTGTGCTTTAAATTATATATGATAATAATATAAGGTAGTTTAATATCCAGGTGTCGAAATAGATACAACAGTATAATGATAGATACAGTATTATAATGATAGATCAGTTATTATAACTTGTAGTAGTATCAATATTAGAATGTGAGTAGGAAGATTGGGATAATTATTTGTGTTGATTAAGATTATTGAAATAAATGAGATAGTTAATTATTATTTGGATGGAATATATGAGTTTAAGGCAAATGTGAATATTAGATTGTGACAGTGGGGATAAAGGCTGAGAGAGTTGAGATGGTAAAAAATTACAACCAGATCTGAATTCACAAGCATCGAATTGTGTATATTAGATTTTAAATTGAGCAATTGGAGTTACTATTACATTTTTAATTTTAACAAAATACCATAGTTAAGGCGAGATTTTTGTCTTTTCATCTGAAATGTTTTACTATGGGAAAATATATTTCATAGTGCGAGAAGAATCCCATAGTTCAGGTGAGATTTTTATATTTTGGGCAGAATTGAATACTATGGGAGGATGTTTTATTTTGTTCTTAAGGCTGGATAAAGTAAATATGCGTAGCCCAATATTAGGTAGTATTTTTCTCGGTTTGGTATTATTTTTTAGGATTGATCTTGGTTAGGCGAAATGGATGGGAGTTGGTTATGTTTTTTAGGAAACGTGATATGGAACAGATTTTCGCGGGTCGGTCTTGTTTTTTAGGAAAGGTATTTAGTGCGCGTTGGTGATATTTAAAGTGATGGTTATAGAGGATAATGGTTAAGGTGGTGGTAGTTAAAGTGATGGTTGTTAAAGAGGTTGTAGTTAAGTTGCGGTAATGAAATTTGACCACAAAGTTAAAGTTGACATGGAGATTAAGATTATTGAATAAAAAATAAACTTAACAATAAAAGTTAGTGTAATTCATTAAACTGATGGTTAGACACAATAATCATTAGTGACAGTATGATAAAACATGAACCAGTTGAGATGGTGAAAATCTAAGACCAGATATGAAATCACAAGCATTGAATTTCATAATATCAGATATTAGCTTCAACAATTGGAGATAGTTTAGGTGCTAATTGATGGGGCCTTAACTGCTGAGGTAAGGTCGTACAAAGTGATCAGATTATTGAATAAATATAATATTGTTACGCTACCATATTTGAAATTGATTCTCTGCAAGTGTGTATCTAAGAATATACGTTTGTGCATGTGTTTCTAAATCATCCATTCTGTATATGGTTCCGTGTTACGTGATACCTATATATTATTCTTGATATTCCGGCAGAGCCCATAGTTAAGGCGAGTTTTTTGTATTTGCGGCAGGATGGTTTTACTATGTAAAAATATATTTTGCAAATTCCGACAGGATAAAAATGTATTTGCGAAAGAGTGCAGTAAATATACGCAGGGTAATATTAGGTAGTATTTTTCTCGGTTTGGTATTATTTTTTAGGATTGATCTTGGTTGGGCGAAATGGATGGGCGTTGGATATGTTTTTCAGGAAACGTGATATGGAACAGATTTTCGCGGGTCGGTGTTGGTCTTTAGGAAACGTGACAAGGAAAGAGGTTTTTCCGGTTCGGTCTTGTTTTTTAGGAAAGGTATTTAGTGCGCGACGGTGTATATAATAAGGATGGTTAAAAAGGATAATGTTTAAGATAGTGGTAGTTAAAGTGATGGTAATAAAAGTGATGGTTGTAGTTATGTTGCGGTAATGAAATTTGACCACAAAGGTAAAGTTGACATGCTGATTAAGATTATTAAATAAAATTAAAAGTTAACAATAAAAGTTGTTCTAATTAATTAAACAGATGGTTAGACACAATAATCATTAGTGACAGTATGATAAAAGATGAACCAGTTGAGATGGTGAAAATCTAAGACCAGATATGAAATCACAAGCATTGAATTATTAATATCAGATATTAGTTTCAAAAATTGGAGTTAGTTTAGGTGCTAATTGATGGGGCCTTAACTGCTGAGGTAAGGTCGTATAAAATGATAAGATTATTGAATAAATATAATATTGTTACGCTACCATATTTGAAATTGATTCTCTTCAAGTGTATCTAAGAATATATGTTTGTGCTTGTGGTTCTAAATAAATATATTCTGTAGATAATACCGTGTTACGTGATACCTATATATTATTCTTGATATTCCGGCAGAGCCCATAGTTAAGGCGAGTTTTTTGTATTTGCGGCAGGATGGTTTTACTATGTAAAAATATATTTTGCAAATTCCGACAGGATAAAAATGTATTTGCGAAAGAGTGCAGTAAATATACGCAGGGTAATATTAGGTGGTATTTTTCTCGGGTTGGTTTTATTTTTTAGGAAGGATCTTGGTTGGGCGACATGGATGGGAGTTGGTTATTTTTTTCAGGAAACGTGATATGGAACAGATTTTCGCGGGTCGGTCTTGTTTTATAGGAAAGGTATTTAGTGCGCGACGGTGTATATAATAAGGATGGTTATGGACAGTAAATAATAAAGTGGTGGTAGTTAAAGTGATGGTTGTTAAAGAGGTTGTAGTTAAGTTGAGATAATGAAATTTGACCACAAAGGTAAAGTGAACATGCTGATTAAGATTATTAAATAAAATATATTGTTAACAATAAAAGTTGTTCTAATTCATTAAACAGATGGTTAGACACAATAATCATTAGTGACAGTAATATAAAACATGAACCAGTTGAGATGGTGAAAATCTAAAACAAGATCTGAAATCACAAGCATTGAATTATTAATATCAGATATTAGCTTCGAAAATTGGAGTTAGTTTAGGTGCTAATTGATGGGGCCTTAACTGCTGAGGTAAGGTCGTACAAAGTGATCAGATTGTTGAATAAATATAATATTGTTACGCTACCATATTTGAAATTGATTCTCTGCAAGTGTGTATCTAAGAATATACGTTTGTGCGTTTATTTCTAAATGATATATTCAGTGTGTAGTGTAGAGGAGTGGTGTAGAGGAGTGGTGTAGAGGAGTGGTGTAGAGGAGTGGTGTAGAGGAGTGGTGTAGAGGAGTGGTGTAGAGGAGTGGTGTAGAGGAGTGGTGTAGAGGAGTGGTGTAGAGGAG